ATGCATTCCAATCGTCCATCTTACATTCGCCCCATCGACAAATCAGCCTTAGCAGTGCTCAAGCACCGTCAGAGCTCGGAAGATAAGCAGGTGTGAGCCTCGTTAGTCATTTGATGAGATACTGCCTGGGAACGATAAGCATTGCAGGCTTGGGTTGTGAGGTTTTCAGCAGAGCACAACAGTCGTTATTTTTTGTGTGCAGATCTTTAGGTGTGACCCCCCCCCCCACCCCCCTTCGTATGTGTGAGGTTTTTTTGTTTCTCAGGAATCTCTGATTAATTTATCTTCACACGAAACCAGATACTGGTTTATTGGCATTGGCCAAATTTCTCAACGCAGGACCATCCCGAAAAATATATTCAGGACTCATTTACGCTTCCTTGGATACACAAAGGGCATTATTATTTTAATTATCATGATTAATGGCAACATCACATCGCCTTTGCAACCTGCTAATGCTTCTAATGCACGTATTAATATTAGCAGACATGTTGTATACATCTTCTATGCATTTGCTAAATATGGTTACTTTGAAAAAGTTATTCGAAAGGCACTTAAAGTTGAGTACTTTCTTTTAGTGCTGTTATTTCTCCAAAGTCAGGTGATGCTCCAATGACCTTATACAAATCACATATCGGTCATTTTCTGTTTGTTTAATCTCTATCTTCAATGAAGCAACATTCAAAATACTGACCATCGAAAAGTAACAACTTGGGGCATAAATGATTAATGAATTCCGTTAAATCGATGTAACCCAATTATAGACGGTGGCTGATGTCTTCCAGATAGTCTGGTGGCGGGGACGGGGGGGGAATGGTGAGATTACCAGACCCTGTGGATTACTGTCCCAAAAAAAAAGGAGTCTTCTCTAATCCCCCTCATTTTTCACTCAACCCGTTTTGTACATTTCTGAGGTGCAGGTAATTACCGCTCTGCAACGCAGCACAACACGGCAAGCGATGTGGAGTGCACACACACACTCCCAGATCGTTTCCCGTATTTTATTTTTTTGGGGAATGCTGACCGTTGGGCTTTTTGAGCAGTTTTGCAGTCACCCAGCAAATGTCAACTGATCAAATCTGTCACGTGACCTTCTGTTTTTACACAGTCTCTGAGCACAGGTGCGAAGGGCTGAAATTTGAAGCGCCGATAATACTCCTTGGCAGTTGTGAAATTAAACACAACTCTCGCCAGCGCATTTAAATGTAGTTCTCTCCACTCGCGGGATTGTGAGGTATTCTTCTTCCTATGACACCACCTGCTATTTTGTGGCATCCTTAGAGGTGGCATCCTTAGAAGGTGGTGCTGTGTTGTCGAGATTCATTCTCTTACCACCACCACATCATCATCATGTGTCACCCCTAATCAACAGCCATGGATCTCCATCACTTGCTGTCCCTCGTCTCTCTCCTCACGCTGCATGCACATCGCCGGTTCCCTTGTGAACCAGTCCACCTCAATGTGTGTGTTGGATACTCACACCTTTGTCTCCCTGGATCGTACTAGCAATGAACAAGTTCGCCAAGCAGCCCTGTTTTTATCTCATTAATATCGCCAAAAAAACATTCCTTATCAAAACCAGGCGGACATGGGCAAGACACGTCTTGAGAAGAAATGGTCGAGACTAATGACAGAATTACTGCTAAATGAGGGAACACACAAGATAATACACCAGTTTGTGTGCCGGCATTAGATGGATTGTTGCATTGCCAGATCACGAGTAATGGAAACAGCTTTGGGAGAACAGCATTCAGCAGTGGCTAGGTCAAGGCTGATGATACTCTTTGGTTCTTTTCGGTAAAGTCTTATTTTTTTACCTACGTGACTTTACCGAATAGAACCAAAGAGTATGGATCCTTGCAGTCACGAAAGCTTCAAATCTAGAAAAGGCTGATGATGATTGCTTTTACCTTTATACGTTTACAGCTTTGCATTTATCTTTGTAATAGTGCTTCATTTGTCATTACTTCAATCCTCGCTTGTTTTCAGCATTCTCCTTAAAACCTCTGGGTGCTCGCACCTCGTCCGAGACGTCTGACCAGCATGGAAGAGTAGGCCATAGACCCTCCCGAGGGGGCTCTTTGGAGCTCCCTCTATTGGGGAGAGCCTTCCACCAGCAGTGACCATGAGCAAGTAACTGCAGGCTTACATTTTGATTTAGAGCTTTCGTGACTGCAGTGATTCATATTCTTGGTTCTTTCGGTAAAGTGACTTTACCGAAAGAACCAAGAATATAGCTGCAGGCTTGTATATTTATCTCGACTTGGTGCGGTTGTACCGGTGGTCCCCGTCACTGAGTTACGTGCGTAGCGTCGCAAGCAATGCGAAGACAATGTGAAGATGTCAGTGTCCATGCGACGGTGACAGTGGTGCTGCGGTTCATCATGGCGTAACCGTGGTACAGCGTCTTATTCAGACACAGCTTTTGTTGGGGCAACAATGCTTCTAAATTTGGCATCGATGGCCAATCACCGAGCCGGCGGCGTTACGCAGGTTCTAAGATAGATTGGTTAAAGTGCTCTGCTGGCTGACATTGCTCCATTAGCGCATTCCTACTTCTCTGGCGAAGGAAATAAATAAAAACGAAAATAGTGTGAGCAGCGACGTCACAGTGTGAAGCGGGAATGAAAGTGGTGCGCTGACAGCTCTTGGGCAGCGCCTCGCGCGCTCGCCTGCATTTGGAGGATTTCCAATTGTTTGTGCGATGTGGTTAACGGTCTTGACGTTAAATCAGGCAATTGACTCGTTCAGCTTTGGCAATCAGCGCACCGCTTCATTTGGAGGAGTGCTTTAATGGGGTTCCCTGCCATCTGGCAAACGCCGGCCGTGCGCAACCTTTGCCGGGCCGGTGGCTTGGTCCCCGGGAAAACTTAAGGATTGGACAGAGCAGCTGCTTCCTCAATAAGAGGGGCAATCTTGGAAAAGGGAGGATAGGTGGCAGCTCGGATGATGGCCCGGGTCTGGCAAGGGTTGCCACCTCTGAGGTGCAAAAAAAAAAAGAAACGGAACATATCGCGGGAAGAAGGAATAAGTACACATACCAAACAAAACAAAAACCCCACAACTTTGAACGTTCAATGTCCTGATCAAGACAAACAGATTTCCCAGGACTGTGACCTCTCTGAGAAAAGAGGATGATCCTGAGAAAACCAGGATGGGTGGCCACCCTCGGCCATACCCGGTCCACCAATGTCTCCCGTTTCTCTTCGTCGCCCGGTGCCCCCGGGCCTCGCCTGGACAGACTCGTGGTTGCTGCTGCCCCCCCTCTCTCCTTGTTGTTGGTTTAGCGTCCGCAGAGTGGCACGCCACCACCACATTTAGCAACCGTGTGCCAAGATCCCCTGCGGATTTCTTACAAAATATTTTCGGCGTTGACATTTTGGAAATCATTTAAAATAGATGCACGTTTTCATTCATTATTTATTTCGTTGTGTTTTTTTCCCCCCAAACCCCCCCCCCCCCCCCCCCCACTGCACCACGAGCCCAGCAAACTTGAGTTTGATTCCCGGCCATGGCTAACATCAGTGGCAAAGCGGTAACATAACTTGTTCTGGGCCTCCACTTGGTCAACTCGATCTTAAATGCGTGCCTGAGTCTGTGCGTGTACATCAGCAACGTGAATACAAAGGCCACCAGGTGATTGCCACACCACACCGTCGTGCACCGTGTCAACCTTAATAGGTGTTCGCTAACAGCGCCTGCAATCTCGGTGACTTGGGTTCAATCTCTGACCATGCACGTCATCGCGAACGCGGCCTAGAACGAGCATCGCATGTTATTGTGATGAGACTCGTCATGGAATGGGCAGCTAAAGGAGAGGGCACAACCACTGTGGAGATGAAGCAATGACATCTGTCCTTGTGCAGGCACGAGATGGAATATAGCAGCACTTTACTGTGAGGGATGGGGATGATGCCGAGAGACTTCATCCAGCAGTGGATAGACAATGGCTGATAATGAGTCTTATCATGGATAGGAGCACTGGGAGGGTGTACATATGGTGGGGGGTGCTCCTGGCTGCAAAGTCTCCTCGCATGCTGTGCCAGCCTGTGTAGATAATCACTAACAGCACTTGTCCTGGCGTTCTCTAATGCTACAGGGAGGGGATCGGCGTGGTTCAGCATGCACAGTTGCCACGTGCGGGTACACGGTGAACGGATAAAAAAAAAGACATCCCAGGATTCCCGTTCGAGTGGCTCTGCACGGGCACCGTTTCGCGCGGAATTCCTGCCTGACGTTGTGCTCTTTTTGAAAAGTTGTAAGAGAAACAAAAAATCTAGGTCACTGTAAACATTCAGCGGGCTTTGTTCCCAGGCGAGTGTGCAAAGTAGGCGTGCGTTGCGTGCGAGTGTGCACGCACTGTATGCTTGCACAGCGAAGACCTTGCACAGTGGAGTATCAAAAGCCTCCGACGAATGTTTGGAGCGTGCGGCGGTGGTGGTTCACGAGGCAATTCCGTTCGGGCCCCCCCCCCCCGTCGATTGGTTCGCGCGCTGCACTTGCAATGCAGAGGCCGCTGCTTCGATTTGGATATCGTTGCACGGCGGTCGAAACAATGTCACGTAACGTGTTGAACTTCTGTCGCACCGCACGTAGCCAACTGTGCTAATCGGAGGTGTGGTGAACACTGGTGCGCGTCGCTTGTGGTGAGGTAAAGTGCGGGTACTCCAAAACTCTTCCAAGACCAAGACGTCTGCTCAGTGTGGAAGAATAGGCCAACACACCCTCTGGAGCTGCTCTCTTAAGAGCTCACTTCGCAGAGGCAACTTTCCACCCAGAGTGGTGTTGACAATTTCACCTTTACCTATGCACCTCTGCCTTGCGCATGCAACTCACGAAATCCGTCGTAGAACAACACAGGTGTGTGGAAATCCTCGGCGTTGGATTCCTTTTTACCCGCGTTTCGATTTTCATCCGCAATATTTCCATTCTCCCCCCCCCCACACACACCATCCCATCCCGTCCCTTGTGCTTCTCCGGTGTGTTTCCCTTGCACGCAGATATCGATGAGTGCTCGTTTGACCGCGCGTGCGATCACACGTGCATCAACTACCCCGGCAGCTTCGAGTGCCGCTGCGATCGTGGCTACACGCTCTACGCGCTCACGCACTGCGGAGGTAAAAGCTCGCCGGCGATGTCCAGGCCCCGCCGACCGACTGCGCCGTTGCGTCACCGCGGTGGGCTTCAAAGCGACCGAGAGCCAATGAGACGGAGGGCGGCGGGGGCATGGGCGCTACGCTGGACGTCGAATCATCTGTCCCTCTTAACTTGCCATTTCTGCGCGGTATGCCGTGCCGTTAAAGTGCAAGTCTCGGCTGTAGGCAAGGGTTAAATTTCTCCCGAATGCTGCTAATGCTGGCCTGGCGTAAGCATAAGGCACTACAACTAGATTACAAAGTCCACCTGTCTATAATAAACCTAAATGTTTGTACCGTATATTTCTAGAATCATATGCTCATGTTCATTTGGAAATAAATACCAAAATACAATTATAAAGACAGTAATCAAGATTGATGTTGCATTCCGGACGGTTTTCGGCTGGAATTGAAGAACTGAGTATAAATAATTAAATCTGGCTGCCATGCCTCTCTGTGCTTGAAGAAGGGACATAGTCCAAAACGTCGGCCTACCGCTGTATATGCTCTTATTGCGTTACAAGGTGCTGTCAGTGATTATCAGTGGTGAGATATTTTGGTCTGGACATATGGTTGAGCAGCACTGGCAACGCAGCCACTAAAGTTTAAAATTATCTTGTTTTCGTAGTTCCGCCCGATCACATCCAACGACGATGCACTAATCCTCGAACAGCGAGTACACAGGGGAGAGCTGTATAGTAAGCGTAATGTTAAGTTGTTACAATTATGTACTATGGAGTACAATCTCTCATTCTCAGAAAATGTTATGACAATTAAAAAATCTATAACGTTAGATGAATGCCTCCCCATGCCGTGTCGGTCAGGGTGGTTTTTAGACCTTCACCACGCTTGTCAGTGGCGTGTTGGTGATTAGTATGGCCCACCACTGATTTAGATATCACTGATCGCCGATCTTAGCCTTGGCCAGGAATCGAACGCAGGTTGCTGGTGTTACAGCATCGTCTGCTAACTAGGGCGCCACCACTCCCATATTCACGAAAAACTCACGCTGCGGGAAACTAAAATGGTGCTCAGCACGAATGTTCGCTTTGTAATGAGACTTGCCAATGTCAAGTCAAGTTGCTTTTGCTTAACCACGTGACGCCTTTCTGGCACAAATCTGCCAATCAAAGCGCCGTCTCATTCGTACTCATGAAGATAAAAAAAATAGAGACAATTCTATGCGGTGAGTAAAATATAAACTTATCTTTAGATGTTTAAAATATAAAAAAATATATAAGCAAGTAGTTGTGGTTGGGAGTTAGGAGTTGTTGTACCATTGAAGCTCAAGCTCCGAAAAAACGAATTACGAGAGCATCAAGCGAAGCGTCTCTCTGGAAAGATGCTCGCAAAAATAAGGGGGGGGGGGCGGGGAGGGGGGCAAGAGAAAACGAAAGAATGGAACGAAAGCTGTAAAAAAGAAAATCAAATCGCTTTCATCGAGCCTCCCAGAAGAGCGGTCGATGAAAGTAATTTGTCGCGCGGCTGTTGCTCTCGTGCCGGGCGTCTCACAGACGTGGACGAGTGCAGCATCAACAACGGCGGCTGCCAGCAGCAGTGCGTCAACGCCCCCGGCAGCTTTGATTGCCGCTGCTGGGCCGGCTACAGGCTGCACTGGAACAAGAAGGACTGCATCGGTGGGTGACGCGCGTGTGCGTGCGCGTGCGCGGGTGTGTTTGTTTGCGTGTGTTTGCGTGCGCGCGCGTGCGTGGGTGTGTGTGCGGGTACGTGTGGGGAGCGGTAGTGTAGCGAGTTCAATTCCCGCTCACGGCCACCAGCACTAGTGACGATTATCTGAACCGGCGCTGGGTCTTCGCTAGACCGACTCGGTCTCAAATGAGTACCTGGTGTTGTGTGTAAACATCGCCAATGGGGAAACAAAGGCGGCCGGGCGTGGTGCTGGTCACCCACACCCTCGCGTGGCGTGCCGCCCTTCATAGGTGCAGCACTAACAACACTCTCCAGCAGTAGATTGACAAAAGGGATGCACGTAGAGTGAGACCTTTTAGAGCCCAAATTAAATTACAGGGCAGCGCAGCTAGGCATGTTCGAGAATGGCCCACAAAAGCAGATATCACAGAGCTACTTCTTGCATCCCTGCAATGCCGCTCCGGTTCACAAAGTGGGAGGGATACACTTTCCCACTCAAACTGCCACTGGGAATAACATTTCACACACGACATGGCTGAAATGCAGCTAAATTAAGTGCGTAAGCAGATTTAATATAACGGTTTGTTTTCTTGCAGGCATTTAGTGACCAGAGTGAGATCCATCAACCCACAAACTTGGAAATTCAGATTAACCACAGGTAGCTACGGTGGTGAGACGTTAACCACCTCGCCCGGTATACAGGAGATTGTGGGTTCGATCCCGACCCTGACGCCTGCTGCTGTATATTTGGCATTTGCACGATCTCCCCGTAGTCCCGTGGACCTTTCTCTGGGCCCACCGGTTTTTTCCTTCCATATTTAAAAGCAACACGCATTGAGAGTATTCCGCTGCTATTAATGTCCACGTGAAGAAGCCACTTGGGCTATCATTTGTGCGATGGCCAGGTCACTTCTCAAAAAGAGCTACATTACTTAGTGGTGTCTTGCCTGGTAAAATAACAAAAAATTGTTTCAAATAGCTTCACCCCCACCCCCGGTTCCCCTCTTCCCTCCCCTCTGTCCATTGCTTTTCTCCCGGTATGTTCATTATCTCCCCCCCCCCCCCCTTACCCTTTTGCCCTCCCTATGTAAAGCTCCAAGTCCCCGCTCATGTGATCCCCACCTGGGCAGGGCAGCAGTGAGCCCCCAGTTCTCGCCCCTTCACTGAACCCTGCCGTGTCCAACTCGGGGGGGGGGGGGCTGCAGATCGCTCAATATTCTGCCCCCCCCCCCCCCTCCGTTCGGTGATCGGCACTTTGTATCGGGCTCGCTTTGAGTGCTAAACAAAAGCAATAGAATATATATGCAGCGCGTAGTTTCACCTTTTCCAGCGTTATTTGTACACAGGACGTTCTGCGGTGGCTTACCCTGTAGGTAAAGGTGTGTGAACACCGCTGATGCTGATGTTGCGGACCCTGCACGAGCTCACGAACAGCTTTAGCTCCTCCCGAACACCCCCCCCCCCCTCCCGAATTTTAATCGTGCATCTGCTCGACGGTCCTGCTCTCTGTTGAACACACGTCTTCAAAAACGTATCTGCCTCGGATAGCAAACTATGACTATAAATATGCTATGAGCCCCCGTAGAAATGGTTTAAGGATTGCACTTAAACCGTAGAAAATCACGTGGAACGCTTCCATCTGGCCTCTCGTGACGCTCGTGGGCTTTTTAATATTTTCGAGAAAGGAGCAATTTCTGCAAAGTTTTTTGTTGTTGTAGCTTGGCCCGAGTGGTGGCGTGTTGCAAGCAAAGACGTCAGCACGTGCAAAGATAAAGCGTTGGATTCAGAGTTTTATTTTAGATTCGTCAGTTTCCCGTCGCACGTCGGTTTGAACGTTAAATGTGCAGCTGTTGCTTAAACAAAGCATTTGTTCCCATTATAATCCTGCTGTTGGCGTACATGTGAGAAATTACGAATATTCCCATTCGGACGTGCTCGCAGATAGCAGGGTATTACCCTGTGTCGAAAGAATGGTCCTGGAAGATGATAGTAGAATACATTTTTTTTTATATAGTGCCCTATATGCTGTGGCGTCTCACAGCAAGTTATGTTACATCACGTCTTGTCTCAAAAATAAATATCAATGATGTCACTTCTTCAGGAGACCTCTTTAGGAAAACTACGGGCACGCATTTTAACGACCTACAAAGATATGCTTTTCACGTGTCTAAACAAACGGATCTTTAATGCTCACAGCTGGAATTGAAAATAAAATGAATTTTGATTGGTTGTGTTTCTTTCGGTCGTTGGTGGCTGAAGTGAGTCCATCTACCATCTACAATTGAAAACCGAGGTTAATCAAAGTGTAAATATTTCATTCCCAATAAAAACGAAATATATGTTATGAGACCTCCTTTGCCAGTAACAAGATATAGTAATAGGTTTTTTACCCTTTCAGCTGGCACAAAAACTGACACCTTTATACGAGGGATCATAAATTTAGATTTAAAGATTTCGTGACTACAGTAATTCATATTCTTAGCTCTTTCGGTAAAGTCACGTTGAAGGGAAACAATAAAATAATAAAATATATATAAAACAATAAAAATTCTCACGACGTTTCGACCATAACACCTGATGACGACCGTTTGTGTTATGGTCGAAACGTCGTGAGAATTTGTATTGTTTTACATATATTTTATTGTTTCCCTTCAACGTGACTTTACCGAAAGAGCTAAGAATACAAGGGATCATGTTTGCTATAACCACAACACAAGCAGTCAAAAATGCAAACAAAAAGAAACAACTCTGATAATGATATGCACTGTCCTTGAATTTGATTGGTCCACACCCGAGACAGCTTTTCTTAGAGCCTAGTCTCCACTGGTGTTGAACCAGATGACACCATAAGGCGTACAACTCAAAAACAGCGCACTATCAGAGTATTGAGAGCTCGGGGTAAGCCTTTACATTATGAGACCTCCTTTGCCAGTAACAAGATATAGTAATAGGTTTTTATCAGAGTTTATTTTTTGTTTGCATTTTTGACTGCTTGTGTTGTGGTTATTGCAAACATGATCCCTTGTATAAAGGTGTCAGATTTTGTGCCAGCTAAAAGGGTAAAAACCTATTACTGAAATATATGTTTTTAGTCCATCAGCCTATTGGCCTTCCAGACTATACATATATTTATTTTTTCGTAGAAAAAGTACGCGGTTCAAATATTTGGAAGGGGAACCAATAATTCCAGAATATTTTTTCCTAGGCGAAACAAATACGAATTCCTGATGGAAGCAGACGTGCAGGAGGTGCGAGAAACCTCGTTGTAGTCTTTGATGCCGGCTCAGTGGCCTGACGCAAGCCCAGGGGTCGACAATCAAAATAACACGAAGAGCCAATTTTGTTTCGAATTCGGTAAACAAAAAACTCAATATTTCCAGAGCCGCGATGCGGTGTGAATAGGAGACGGTGGTGGTCCCTTAATAAATAACGTCACGGGGAGCGGTCCCTTAAAGGGCCACGTGCGGATCCGGAGCCGCACGTTGCCGACACCCGCCCAAGCCTCATGGCCACGACCACTGTCAAGTCGTTGCTGCGGTTGTTGTCACTGGTGGCGGTGTTGTTGTTGTTGTTATTGTTGTCGTTAAGTGGAGAGCTGTGCACGATGAATGTGAATGTTTGGTGCCTCTGGGCTTGTGTTTGCCGGGTAGAGGCCCAGCGGTGTTTGCCGACAAAAACGCCAGCCAAGGCCATTCTGAGCTGCGGGAAGACTGGCGGCCAAGAAAGCTGTGCCCTTACGTGCCAGGCCAAGGCTCACTACACGTCCGGTGAGCTCTTTCCCCATCGCCCTCGCTCTTACCGTCACCATTCATCGTCATACATGTATGTGTGTTGAACTCCTTTCGCACCGTACATAGCCAACCGTGCTCATCAGAGGTGCGGGGGAAGGACAACAAACTAGACACACCAGCATCACCGTCGTCAGTGATACCACTGCACAGGATTTCTCTGCTGTGCTGTATCGTTCTCCGAAGCTTGTTCAGGTTGTACCGCGCGTTGTTCAACGACGATGTGTGAAGTCGATTTGTTCCACGTGCTGGGAGCTTCTTCAGGAACTGAACATTCGGTTCAGTTCATGAAGTTCCTTAAATCAGCAATTGTCTATCAACTGCTGGATGAAGGGCTCCCTAAACCACCGCCGTCTCTCTCACGATCGTGCGGTAAAACATTCCATCAAGGTAGGTGCACGCGAGTTGATGTCATCACTCCCATCAGTCACGAGCGTCATCTCAAGCGGTTCTGGGCTCCCCCCTACACCGATCCACACACTGACCAGCGTGGTGAGGTACGGTCAAACAACCCCAAAGAGCAGTGAAAGCCATAGGGACAGCTTCATCGAGCAGTGGATTGACAAAGGGCCGTGCATCACATTGCATCATCCTTTAACCGAAAGCGAAGTTACTGCCATTTCCACTGCGTTTACCCTCATTCTTTGCTTTCCCCCCCCCCCATCCTCCCCAACGCTACGGTCCTAACGTAAACCTCACCCTAACTTTTGCCCTCCTGTCCTTGCCCTTGAGCAGAGAGATACAGTTATCACTGGACACCCCATGGGTCCGCGTCCCATCGGCAGCAGCCGAACGCGCACCCCCTTAGCTCCGTCTGGTTTATTCATTTCACCGTGAATGTAAACAACGGGGCCGACAACTCGCAGCGATAAGTGCCGCAGATTTACAGCCAGTCTCTGCGGCGCACTCGCCACTCTGCAGGCTGCAAAGAGCACGGGGCATCGCTGGCAAATGCCGCACTATCGGCAAAGGGATAAACGCGTTGGACTCTGATGCAATGCCGGGGGTGATTGAGTGTCGTTCAAAACTTTTTCTCCAGCTCGATCTCCACTTGAAGAAATCGAATTTCGTAATGCGGTGACTAAAAAAAATATTGTTTTGGTAAGCGAATCAATAACGATGATGCATACGTGGTAAAAATCGACGATTGCCAGGGATGCCGCCTTTTACCAATATAAAGACTCTGTAGTTTCAATTTCCATTAAGTGAGGCTTAGCCTTTTTCCTAACTTCTCATTTGGCGACCTCTGACCTGGACGTGTATAAAGCGGCCGAAGGCAATTAAGTGACAATCGAGTTACAGAGAAATATAAAGAGGTTTATTTGTGGCCAAGACTCTCAAGGTATGTAAGAATACATGAGATGCTGGATAGAAGCACATCTTATATAACCACATTCATGTTATAAGCAACACATGCTGACATCACGCTTGTTTTATGCATGTATATTGAACGTATTTCGCACCTCGCGTAGCCAACCGTGCTAATCCACCTTCTGCATACGAAGTATGTATATCCATACTTCGTATGATGTATATCCATACTTCGTATGGTATACATCCACCTTCTGCATTGCTGCCACATAGCTATTAACACACTTCTTGGCCATACTCAAATCGCCTTCAGAATCAGGTTATTTATACTGGAGGAATCTGATGAGCTATCAAGCTCTTTTTCACAGATGTCCAATTGAATGTTAAAGTGCAATTTTATTGAGGGACTGTGTGTTGACTTCGTGTGATCTGGGACTGTTTTCGGTCTCGTTTTGCTGCCTTGCAATTAGTGTCGAAAAATCGTCAGGAATGTCTTGTGAAATTTGTACTTCTATACTTTCATTTTTATTTATATTTACCTTTTCTCTAATTTGCACTCCTATCGTTTTTTTTGTATTGTTTCTTGTTCTAACTTTGCTGACCCGCCTCCGCTGAACAATCTGTTAGAAAGAGCTTCACAGCTCATCGGATTCCTTCCTCCGGTTTCAAACGAAGATTCTGATTCTGGTTGCGTCACAACGGCGAGCCGCGTATAATAAAAAAAAAAAACCTGTCTGTGCCGAGCATCACCGCACGGGGCAAGGGTTGGGTGGGTGTAGGGTCAGGATTAGCATCCCCTGAGTCACTTCCATCGGACGCGACCGTGGGTTGGTTCGGCCTCACGTCACTTCGGCTCGCCCCGGGAAGAATCCAAGATGCGCTTTGATGCCACGCTGCGTTGCCAGATGGCGAGTCCCCGTCGCAGGTCTGCGGCTCCGGGCGTTATCTGCTGCCGAGCGCTGCGTAAAGTCTCCGTCAGCGAACGCGATGGGAAAGTTTGAGTTTGTTTGATTTGTTACGCAGATGATGATGATGACCCCGATATTTTACCACGGGAGATCCGTGGTGATGCTTGAGCACAGTAGCAGCAGCAACAAAACAAAGAAAAAAGACGAAATAACAAACGAAGTTCGGACACCTCGACCTAGGGGAGGCCCAGTTACAACGCAAGCACCTCTTTGAATTATGGGGCAGTGTGCACCACACGTGTGTGTGTGTGTCCCACTGTGGTGCGATGTTCATAGAGCTACCTCGGTAGCCAGGTTCCTGTGCTTGACGCTGCGTGAATGTATTTGACTTTTTTTTTAAATTGTAACCCCTGTGCAAGTCGTACATTCTAAAATGTTTGTGTGTACGTGTCATATTTGCTTTGTGGGGAGCGGTGGTGTAGCGGTTAGCGCTACGCTGCGCTACGAACCCGGCGACCCGAGTTCGATTCCCACTCACAGCCAACACCGGTGACGATTATCTGAATCGGTCCTGGGCCTCCCCTAGGTCGACTCAGCCTCAATATGAGTACCTGGTGCGATGTGTAAACATCACCACTGGGGAGACAAAGGCGGCCGGGCATGGTGCTGGCCACCCACCCCCCTTGTGGGCCGTGGCGGCCTTAATAGGTGCTCGCTAACAGCACTTGCCCCAATAGTCTGTTAAGGCTATATGGGGGATCTTTGTCTTTGTTCGCTTTGTGTGAAGTGACGGCAGAGCGGTTAGCGTTGCGCTGCTCTACCAACCCGGCGACCCGAGTTCGATTCCCACTCACAGCCACCAACACCATTGACAATTCTCTGAACTGGTCCTGGGCTTCCCGTTGGCCGACTCAGCCTTAATTGAATACCTGATGCGTTGTGTCAACATCGACACTCGGGAGATAAAGACGGTCGTGTGCCGCGCCAGTCAACATCGGTGCTGCTCGCGAACAGCACTTGCCCCAACAGTCTATTGAAGGCTTTACGGGGGATATTTCTCTTTGTTTGCTCTGTGTCACACGTGGGACCCTGGACATGCTTTGTTAACGAGACGTCTCCATCTCAATGGGGATTTTGTAGGTCCAATAGTTTAATAAATAAGCAAAATAAAAGGCTTCGCGAACGTTGGGCATGCTCTCAGTTCGACGATGCGACCAAGGCTACCAAATTCGGCGGCAGCAACGCAGCGGTTGTGGACAAGTGACGTGTTTATTTTAAATCTACCTCCGTCCCTGCTCACTCGATAAAGAACCCTTTGCAAGAAAGGAGGCTGGGGAAGTAAGGGGGTTATGGGGTGTGACGGGGTAGGGTGGTGGGGAAGCGAGCGAGAGAGAGAGAGAAATTCAGCTTAAGGGGATGTTGTTCTTGTCCAGAAAGGTTCGATTGAAGATGGTTTCTTGGAAAGACGTGTGAATGGCTTCGGTGTTAAGGGGTCCAACGTGTTGCTACTATGGCGACAGTGCCGCGCTTGTTTCTTGCCACACGTCCACGGTGAACGTGCAACCGGGGTTTTCCCTTGCCCCCGTCTGCCCTGTTCACATACAAGGGGGTGCCGCGGTGGCCAGATGTTAACGCCCTCGCCCGGTATGCAGGGAGTCGTGGGTTCAATCCCGACCCTGACGCCTGCTGTATATTTGGAGTTTGCATGTTTCTCTCCACGTGGTCGCGTGGATTTTTCTCCCGGTCCTCTGGTTTTTCCCTCCACATTTAGAAACATGCTTTTAGAGTTTATTATGAATGCTTTTTGGAGTATTTGACTGCTATGAATGTCCACATGATAAGCCACTTTGCTGAGCTATCATTTGTGGCCAGGTCATTTCTAAAAAAGAGCTATATCGCTCAGTGGCCCTTACCCTGGTAAAGTAATAAATAGTTTGAATAGTAGTTTAAATGCGCATATAACCGTCGTCTCTCTTCCCAAGTTCTTACAACCGCGCATAATGCAAGATGCTTACTAACTCTCTACGATTACACCTTGAACGGTGCCGGTTGTTGTTGGCCACTTTTTGGTTTGAAGAATAACTATTAAATATTTCCACGAGTCACTCATTGCACGTAACGTAAGCTTAAGATCAGATATTGATATATGTTGATGTTTTGAGAGGCCCTTAATTGTTAGTGGCATCAAAGGGTTCACGCTTGCATTTTTTGGCCAAATGTGCATGAACGGGCCAATACCTGAACATAAACGCAAGTGAAACCATCAGTTGGGTGCAAGACCTCAAGCAAACATTTTGTTGGTCCTGCTTCTGGTTATTTTTCGGGTACGCTTATTGGCATCCGCGTCGCGAAACAACAAATCCATTCGGAAATCTCACAGTACGGAGGGGATGCACTTTCCTACACACTCTGCTACCAGACTGTATTTTCAGAATCAGAATAATTATTTATACTGGAAGAATCCGATGAGCTGTAATGCTCTTTTTTTGCAGATGTCTAGTCGGGGCGGGTAAGAACGTTACAACAACCAATAATACAAAACCACGATTGGCGTGCTACATATTTTGTCATATTACAGTAATATTGTAAATTGGGGGATTGAGACAAATTAAGTTAAAACAGAAATTTTGACCAGGCAAGGACGATCGATTCAATACATTGAAAACCCCCAAATTAATTTCAACCTTTCACCCAGATCTTTAGCTCAGGATCTCAGCAGTGTCAGCTTGTGTGCCATCCAGGGACCTCAATCTGCGAACA